TATGGATACCAAGGGGGAGGGGGTGGGAGGAATTGGGAGATTGGAATTGACATATATACACTATTGATACTATGTATAAAATAGATAACCAATGAGAACCTGCTGTATAGCACAGGGACCTCTACTCAATGCTCTGTGGTGACCTAAGTGGGAAGGAAGTCCAAAAAAGAGGGGATATGTGTATACATATAGCTGATTCACTTTGCTGTACAGTAGAAACTAACACAACATTGTAAAGCAACTATACTCCCATAAAAAATTTTTTAAAAAGAAAAAGAAACAGGCTGTGCAAAACACTAGGGTCCTTTTCCCAGTTACCTAGGAGAACTATGATACCATCAGCTGGGGGCAAGGGTCTGAGCAGTCAGCTTCTAACTATGGGACTCACCCTCCCCCAGCCCAGAATAACATATATCACAGCAAAAATCTGGGGGCATAACCCTGAAGGGGAAACTGGACCCAGAGGAAGCAGAAGGGACTGCCACAGCAGGAAGAAAAAGGCCCATTCCAAACAGGAAATCAAATAGGGTGGAAAGAGGTCGTGCTCCAGCCCGGCAGAGGCATGCTGTGTCCACCTTCGCCAGGGGTATGAAGACTTATCAGAAGGCCATCGTCGACCTTAAAAGTAGTTCCTCTTTTAGACAGCAATTTGGCAGTATCTTTTTTTAATGCTCACTCTCTTTCAGCTACTTTATGCTGCTAAGATGGTACCCTACAGGTACAAGCTCACTATTACTTACAAAGCAGCAAGTTTACTCCAAAATATTACATAAAGTAATTCTTGCTAAAGCATTTTATGTAAAAGAAAAAAACTGGTAACATTAATGTTCATCAAGAGAGGACTACTTAAATAAATTGTAGTTCATTACAGTTCATCCCTATGATGCAGTAGACAAAGAGTAAGATGTAGCCGTACACAAGGGTCTGCCAAGAACTCCAAGATATTGTACTAAGTAAAAAAAAAATTTTTTTTTAGTATAATGAGTACAGAAGGCTTCTATTTGTGTAAGTTAAAAAGTGTAATATATACATATTTTGTAGGGATACCCAAGAGAGTGCCCTGCTCCCTTAAGAGGGCCTGGGAGAAGATCAGCTGAGCATTTTATACCTTGTGTCCTGTTTGAAACTTTTATCACGGGTACAAGTTGCTTTTATTGAATACATTCTCTAAAGTTTTAAAATAATGGTATAGAAATATGTCTGCTGACACGGAAAGTTGTTCAGAATATACTGCTAAGATTTTTTTAGGCTGGAAAACATACACGTGGAATGAAAAAGACTGGGAAAGCTATATACCAGGGCGCTGCCCGTGACTCCCACTGGGTAGGATTGTGGTGCTTTTCCTGCTCTTTCTGCCTGTCGGCTGCTTCTGTAATAATCACAGGTGGCTTTGTATTAAGATAGCAATAACAATAGCAATAATAACAAAAAGAAAGCTCATCTTAGAGAAGGAAGAGGAACAGAATTGAGGCACAGCTTGGGGCTATGGACAGGCTAAGGCAGAGGCCAGCTGGCCAGAGACTAGGGAAGAGGGGGAGGCAGGACATACCCAGCTGTGTATCTGCATACAGAGAAACCACAATCAGAAGTTCTGGAAATGGTCCTCCTCCCCCAAAGTGCAAGCAGTCTGCAGCAGGGGCAGTGGTGGTGACCCGAGGAGTCCCATCTCTCCACCAGGTCCCAGCTCTGAGGCTCTCTTACTACAGATGGCGTGAATGGCAGGGAGGCTCCAGAGCACGGCCCTGGGTGGCACCTACTTCTGCAGGGGGCTCACCTCCCGGTCCCCCTGACCCCGAAACCATCCTGGAAACAAGGCAGGATGAACTACCCCCATCAGAGAGAGAAGAAAACAGGCCTAGGGCCACTCAGCTCCAAAGTGTTGGCTGGTGTGACCCCTGGTTCTGATCTGGAAGGTCTCCTCGTAGTCTGTGGGCTAAAATACCTCCTAACTCGAGGCATTGGGCCAGGGAAGCCTCTGACCGCAGGGGCTGATGCTGCCCCTTGTGTGTGACTCTGGCCGGTACCCACACCCCCACAGTTAAAATGGGACGAGGTGGCTGCTCTGTCTCAGCAGGCAGCAATGGCAGAGCCGCCAGGTTCCATCTCAAGTCAATCGGTGCAAGATCAAAGACACAAAGCAGGCCCACAGCAGCGGGTGGGTGCAAGGGAGTGAGCACAGATAATCATTTTGTATTTCCTTCTCCAAGCACTGCACCGTGTGAAGTCTTACCTTCACACTGCTTCTTCTGTCTTCTCATCACGGTCTCATCAACCTCTGCGTTACCACACTACCTTAAAAATACGATTTTTATTTTCCCTGCTGTGCACAGCTGACGGCTGCAAAGAAAACTATCCAGGAGCTGGTCCCAGGCTCCACAGAAGGCCTGAACGACAGGCAGAAGGCTCTCAGCCCTAAGTCACGCTGACCGAGACAGGGAAAGGAGGAGGACTCATGCGTGCAGTGAGGGGGCTGCCTCCACGTGCTCCTGGGAGGCAGCCTCCCAAGGGGGAGGAGAAGATATCCACGTCTCACTTCTCCACCCCAAGATGACTAAACACCCCACATCTAGCAGAGACAGCTGGCCGTCTGTCAACACTACTTGGTTGTTGGGATTTGGTAATTGCATGGCACAGACTTCAAGGCTCACAATTCCGATGGAAGATGCCAGCTCTAGCCACCAACACTCCACAGTTACTGATTCACGGAGCCACCCTACGTCCAAACTGGGCCTGGAAGCCACAGAATGTAGCAGTTAAAAACATGGCTCTGGAGTAAACACTGTCTGGGTTTGAATCCTGTCTGTCTCTTCCAAATGACCTCAACAAATTACTTCACCCCTCTGTGCCTTAGTTTCCTCAGCTGTTGTATGCATTAAGTGCACATAAAATGCTTAGCCCAGGATGTGACCCAAAGTAGAGCTCAGTAAATGCTAGCTAAAAGTAATTCACCAGGACACTGCCTACACACACCCACAATGCTGCAGAACCCAATCACCACGCCCAGATCAGGACCTAGGAGCACCAAGACCACGATATGTTCCCAACTGCATCCTCCCCACTCTCCCACAGGTGAGTCTCACCATCAGACAGTGAAAAGGGCAAAGGGAGAAAACACAGATTTTGAAAGTAGGGGAGAGCCAAGCCAGAAGAACCTGGGAGCCTTTGTTAAAGGTGGGGTTCAGTACACGGCCCAAACCTCAGACGACCTTGTAAGCCAACTACAAAAGGATGTGATACCTGCTGTGTGCATGCAAGCACGTGCACTCTATAGAAGGAGAGGGCTGGGGAGGGGAGACCAGGAAGAGAGACAGAGACCTTCTGGTGTCTAAGCACTGTCCCTTTGCCGCTGCACCAGCAGATGTCCACAAGCTGACCTGGGCCTTGGCCAAGCTCTCAGCTCCTGCTGAAGCAAAGTCTGAACACATCCCTCAAGAAAGTGGCTGGACTAGAGAGGGCCGGACTAGCTACGGCTCCCTGAGAACAGAAAGGAAGTGGGATACAATGCTGGGAAAGGCAGACACAGGAGGGACAGCAGAGAAGCAGGAGAGTCAAGGATTAGGGCCAGGAAGAGTCAGAGGAATTCAGAATTGGGGTGACTGGGGAACGTCCTTCACAAAAATCATCATCACTGACATCATCCTAACAACTGGTCCCATTTGTGTCCTCAGAAACAGACCTCAGGAAGAAATGAGAGTCTGTGTAGGCTCCTGGGCTCTGGGGCTTGATGAGAGCAAAAAAGGATGCTGAAAAACAGAAGAAATGCTTGTTGACTTGTGGATCAAGGGGCTAACACAGCACAGGGAGCTGGCAGGTGGGCAGCCAGCAGGTCCTCAGTTAACTTCCAGACATTAGCTGGACATGAGACACAGAACAGACAGCAGCTATGCTGGCGTTTGTTTGGGCAGGGGGAAGAATGAGAGGCTTTACTGCAAGAGAAGGACGTGGCCATGACTGAATCTATTGATTCATATGACCAGATCTGTTTCCTAGGTCACTCATGACCTTCGTCCTCAAGTTGAAATAAATACCAATGAAGACTTCTTTCCAGCTAAACATGGTGGGCTGAACATTCATGTTCATCACTACTCCCTCTGAAAACCCCATTAAAATAGCAAGATGACAAGCTCTAGCCGGGAGAATGTCTCCAAGAAAAATAAAATGGACTCAACAGATTATCTGATATACTGAGAAGACTGTTCAGTGTATCTGTCTTACAAGAGTTAGCAGTTGTAGCAGTCACTGTGTAAAAGAAAAAGCATTTTATTAACTGCCTTACTGAACAAAAAGTTTTCTGATAAAAAACTAATTATAACTTATCTCAGCTGTAGAAATGATGTTAGAAGAATAAAGAGAGGGGAACAGTGTATGTATATTGAGGGGGACGTCTATGAAAGCACAATTATTCTCCTGTGAGAAGTCAACAGATAACATCTAAAGCTAGTAAGTCCAAAAATAGTGGTACAAACGTTTTATTTAGGTAAATAGAGGTAAATATCAGACAAAGCAGCTTTTAGCTAAATCAGCACATGTATTTTAATTCTTTTAGAATTGCAAGTGAGTGGTTCTAGAGAGCAAGACTTCATGTGGAAAAGCAGAGCAGGAGACTCTTATCATTATAAGCCTTGCAATAGTACTTGACTTTTCCAAATCACGGTCATAGAACACATTGGTCAAAATAGAAATTTTCCTAAATGACAAAGATTTATTTCAAGACCTAGGCCAAATTACTCTTCCCCCACGAAGTCTTCTCAGATCTCCTTCCTCTTCTCTCGTGAAAATCACTGTCTGCACCATTCACCCGACAATTAATCACATTCCACTTGGCAATGAGCTGAACGCTTCTATTGTTAATTATCTTTCCACCTGTGTCTTGTCTCCCTGACTAAATTATAACTTGTTCATAGCAGAGCGCACTTCTCATCATCTTTGAGGAGTACACCACAGACCAGGTTATTAAATCCACAAGTTCAGAGAGGTACAGCCACCCCGCTCCCCATTACCTGCGTAAGCGTTGGCCTGCTGCAGGAGGTCGGTACAGGTGTGCACGTCTGCAAACGCGCGGATACCCAGGCAATTGGTGGGATGCAACTGAGATTGCAGGAAGTCACAGCAGTTCTGGCGAACATCCATGAGCTGCAGCAAGCTGGCTGCTGGGAGCAGCACCTGGAAGAGAAGGTGACATTCTGACTTACAGGATCCCACCGCCAGGGTCTCATCTCCCCAAAGCAGTGTTCTAATCAAACCACACCCAAGCTCAAGGTCTTTGCACGGCTCTCCACTGCCTGCCCAAGTAAGTCCAAACTTCTCGGCCTGGACTTTGAGGCAAGCCCAGCCTTAGTCCCCACTACTCTCCACTTCATGGACCCTAAGCACCAACAGATTCTCTGTCTCCCTACAGACCAGCAGTGCCTCCCAGTGGCTAATGTGTATATGAATTCCCCTTGGGATCTTATTAACATGCAGATTCTGACTCAGTAGGTTTAGGGTGGGGCCCAAGAGCCTCCATTTTGAGTGAGTACCCAGGCTATGCTTGCAGCTGCTGGTCCATGAACCACACTTTGAGTAACAAGACCCTTATAGGCTGAGTGTTTGTGTCCCCCGCAAAAGTTTATACATTGAAGCCCTAACCCCAAATTTGGGCGGTATTTGGAGATAGGTTAAAGGAGGTCAGAAGGGTGGGGCCCTAATCCATCAGGGCTGGTGCCCTTATAAGAAGAGAAATAGATACCAGAGTTCTCTCTCTCTCTCTCTCTCTCTCTACCACACAAGGACACAAGGAGAAGGTGGCCTTCTGCAAGCTAGTAAGAAAGCCCTCACCAGAAACTCAATCAGCTGGAACCTTGATCTTGTACTTCTAACTTCTAACACTGTGAGAAAATTAGTTTCTGTTGTATAAGCCATCCACTCTGTGGTATTTTATTACAGCAGCCCAAGCTAAGACAAACTGGTCCTCCTACCTGGAGATTCACCTGGAGAATTTTTAAAATACTGATGCCTGGGTCTCACCCCCAAAGATTCAACGTAATAGGAATGGGGTGTAGCCTGGACAGTGAGATATTGCTAAAGTTCCCCAGGTGCTTTTAATATATAGCCAAGTTTAGAACCACTGCCCTACAGCCTTTAGCTACTGTCTTCACTCAAAGATCTTTATTGACTTGTTCACAAGCTCATTCACCATTTAATTACTGAGCACCTGTGGGCCCGCCTTTGTGATTCAGTGGTAGGTAAGCAAGAGAAATCGAACCCCTGATCTTACAGAGTTTATCATTTACTGGAACAAGAGCATCATCCCCAAATCCACTGGGACTCAAACAGACACACTCTACTCTCCCATCCAACAGATAAATAATAAAGAACATTTCTGAGTACATTCTCAGCAAAAGGAGAGCTAAGTTTCCTTTTAAAAGGTCATGAGACACATGAGTATTTATACTGTATCCTGGAAGACAGAAATAGTTCCTGCTCAGGTGTGTGTGCATGTGTTTTTCCTAAAAGCCAGGGAAGACTAGCTTGAACAGGCCAGATGGGTGCTCAGACTGTCAACCCTGGTCAAGCTCCCTAGGACTTTGCCACAGCTGCCAAAGCCTGCCCTCGGATCAAAAACCATGATCGTTGTCAGAGTCCTTCTTGACACCAGCTCTGCTACCCCTCCCTCCCGACCCTGTGGGAGGGGTAGATGTTCTGAGAGTGACTTAACAAAAAGAAATTCAGAAAAAAAAAAATCAGAGCAGAACAGTTTGGCTTGAGACTGCATCGCTCAGGGACCCCCAGCATCCATTTCACCCCAAAACAACCCCCGTGTCCTGGGCCTTTGCTCTCAGCTGCCCCCCTGACTCTCAGGGAGAGTGTCTGGGCCAGCCAGACTCCAGGTATTCCCATCCACACGGGCTTGCCCGGGAAGACAAGGGCTGCAGATGCATTTGATTTCTTGACTCAGGGCACTACAAAAGTTTTTTTTGTTTTGTTTTGTTTTTTTTGAGTGATTTAAATTCTGGAGGCTGACGGTCTCCCAAAACAGCTCTGAGCCTCATCTCTAGCCCTCCTCACCTCCATGGGCTAAGGCCAAAATCTCTGCCCCACTGCCCATTCTTGGGCCTTGTCCCACCACTAGGGTAACCAGCCATCCAGGTTTGCCCCAGACTGAAGAGTTTCCCAGGACACAGGGCTTTCAGTGCAAAAACTGGGGCAGTTAGCCACCCTTCCTCATTCCTGCCCACACACAGATGCCACCAAGAGCCTCCACTAACAGTGGTCCTGCTCCCAAGCTTAAAATCCTGCTCTCAAAGGGAAGCTCTTCCTACCTGCAGGCTTAAACCTCTCCCTCACGATAGCCAAATTCTAGAAAACATCTCCTCTCTCCTTCCTCTGCCCTCTCTCTTCCACTACCCTATATCCCCAGCAATACAACAGTAAATTACCATCCTGTCCTTGGTATTTTCTGAACCACTGATTCATTCCAGAGAAGGAAAAAGATAAGATCACCCGTTCTGGAGACTTTGAGACCGTAAGTGAACATAGCCAGGCTCCAAATCTGACCACCTGAGCTCCATCCCCACTAGACAGCCACGTCCCCACGGAGCAGCCATAAACTGGGAAACTCAATTAACCTGTGAGCTTGCTCAGCCTAGCCAAACAGATTCCAGGACCAGATTAGTCTCTCCCTGAGAGTTAAGTGGAGAACCATTAACCATTCTTGCTGAATACATACCAGGAATGGAAAGTCGTGTTCCAAACCCCCAAATGACCTCCATGACACCCGCCCTGACCAGCACCAGCTATAAACCCTAGAGTTAGGGCCATAGGTTAACCAGCCATCCTGGTTTGCTCAAACTTTGCCAGTTTTAGCACTCAAAGTCCTGTGTCCCAGGAGAGCCCTCAATCCTGGGCAAACTGGGCTGGTTGTTCACCCCAGAGACCAGAAACTTGCATCCAGTTACACTAAGAAACCCTGGTGGAGAGGAGTAATCCAATGCTGTCCAGCATACACCCTACTTCGGGCGTGGCAAGATCCCAAGGGTCAGGTGTGATTAGAGGCCGAAATGGACAGCAGCCCTTTAGGTCCGCAGAGGAGGAATTTCTGAGACTCCAATCCGCCCCCAGATTGCATACCCGCCAAGCCAAGATGCGATCACGCCAGGGACACACGCCTCCTCCGCCTCCCTGTCCTCTTCTCCCCCACAACGACAGCCACAGTTTGGGGCTTAATTTTTCAAGCTCATGACAACCATCCAAAGAAATGAAATAATAAATACTTTCTGAACACATTCCTTAGATTATACTTTCAGTTTTTAGAACCTCCCTGGATAGAGCTACCCACACAGCTTTCAACTTTCCTACTGTTCACAAAACCCACTTCACAGACAAAAATGATCAGGCTTTCCACCTCTCCACACACCCTCCTCCCATCCTCTTTGGGTCCACTTCTGCCCGAAAGCATTCCCAAGGTGACTTCCCAAAATGAGCGGGGCTGGTGGTTTCTCTAATTGCCCCTTCCCTCCTTTCTCTTTGATCTTATGCTGCGATCCACTTGCTTCATACAGGAAGGCATGAAGAAAAGCAAAGGGATTCAGAATGCTGAGGAGGGTTTAGAGGCTGGAGGATGTATCACTGCTCAAATGCTGAGTCTCAGGGATAAACAGGGGCCTGGTCCAGTAGGGCTCTGGGGGCTGCACACAAGGTGGGTCAACACAAATCCCCAGAGGCTGCAAAAGAAAAGAGAGAGAAAAACGTCCAGGAGGTGGTCTTTGCTTCCCTCTCCCACAACAAGGGCTAAAAGAGGATTTCCTCTTCTCTTATCTTGCCTGCAACTCGACTCCCTCAAGCGGCAGCAGTAACAAGATTAGGAACAAGAGGCCAAACTCAGGTCCTCAGCTTGGAAGCAAGACTGTCCTGGTGGAATCACTAGGGCCGTTCTGCTTGCCCCCTGGAAGGAGGTTGAGACCTGAGAAGGAGCAATTGGCTGGAATCGCCGCAGGAAGAGAAGACGACCCTGGGTTAAAAGCTTTCAGCTTGCCTCTCGCCGTCTCAGCATTTTGGTTCTGGGAAAAAAGGCCCTGGAATGACCCTCAGCAGAGAGTTTACAGGTTCCCCTCCAGCTTGCAAATGGCTTCCCTCCATTTTTCACATGCAGGCGCTGTTTTGTTTCTTTTCCTCTCCCTCGGATAACATGAAAACACAGCAGAGGATATCCCGTCACAGAGTTTAGTTTCCTTTAACAAAAACAAAAGGAAATGCCCTGCCTCAGAATGCACCTACTCCTGGAATTTCAGAGAGGCAGGGCCATGCACAAAGGGAGGGTACCAGCCAGAGGGCCAGGTGGCAAGGCTGCCCAGGGCCTCTGCCCACACCACACAGCAGGGGGTCTGCCTCTGCCAGCACCAGGCATGAGGCCTGGCACAGAAATAGTGCTAAATAAAAATCTACTGAGAGAAAGAAGACAGGGAGAGAGAGGTGTACAGATAGATGAACAGGAGAGCTAGCAAAACAGTACTGTGATTAAATGTGTCACTTAGAATATTTTTTAAATTTTTTTATTGAAGTATAGTGTCACTTAGAATATTGACTTCTCCACTTACCAGCCATGTGACTAAAGGCAAATTACTTAACCTCTCTGTACCTCTGACTCCTCAACAGTAAAATGAAAATAATAGTACTGCCTTAAAGGCTTGTTGTTGGGCTCAAATGAGAAAATACATTTAAAGCAGCTAACCCAGTGTTTGGTGCATAGGAATTCGTCAGTTAAACTGGTTTTTATTATTACTAATTATTACGAGCTGAAGTCAAGATTCTGATCATTCATTTAACAAGAAACTCGAGTTGACCACATCAACAGGGCACAGTGAGCTGGAGAGAGCTGGATTCAAACCCCAACTCCACCCCTTACTACCTGTGTGACCGTGGGTACTACCCACTTAACCCCTTGGAGCATCAGTTCCTTCAACTGTAAGAGAAGAATCATAGTACAACCTTCTAGTGATGGTTACGATAATTAAATGAAATAATGCATGTGAAATAATCAACACATGTTTGTCTTACAATGAGTATCAATAAGTAACAGTTACGACTTGTTACCTCCACCATAGAAGGGCAGCTCAGACTCTCCAAGGTATGTGTGGCTGGGAAGAGATTTAGGGCATCATCTCCCGGTCACTTAACCAAGCCCCAAGTCTCTGACCCTTGTTTCCCCAGGTGCCTCCATGCTCACCGCCTCAGTGCACCAAATCCTCAACACACACTGTCCTCACAGCTTGTGAGCAACTCTCAGCAGGTACATCACAGCATAAGAAGCAACCACATTTTGATCTAAACTTTCTCTTCTCAACTTTTTTTGTTTTGTTCTCCCCCAAGGTCACCCCTGACCAAACCATAGTTTAAAGTGAGGTATAAAAAGGAAAATAGTTGATATATCTGACTGATTCCAAACAATGCAGTTTGCTGAAGGTTCCACATTGTGCTTCTCAGGGGAGCCCCTGAACATGCAGCCCCCTCCCTACTCCCACATACAAATGAATGCAACAGGCCCCTCCAGGGGCTCACACGCCAGCAGGGACACAGACAGGTGGAAGAGGAGGCAGGCCTGACCTCCCAGACCTTCCTTCAAGACCCAGCACACACAACACTTCCTCAGTGAGGCCTGCCCTGACCATCCTCATCAAGGGGGTGATGACCATTGCCTGCTTCCTGGGGACCTCCACCCTGGCCCCTACCACACTGGAGGGCATGCATTTGCCTGGCCACCTGTCTCCACCTTCAGACTATGTGCTCCTTGATGAAAAAGCTTCCGTGTTCACAGTGCTCTCTGTGCCCATACTGTCTGTTGGCACAGGGTGGCACTCCTCTAAGTGCTTTACCTATAGTAATTCATTTAACCTTCATGCCAACCCTATGAGGTTAAGTACGATTATTATGCCCATAATACAGACAAGAATACTGAGGCACAGAGAGGTTAAGGACCTTCTTGGGGTCACACAGCTAGAAAATGGTGGAGTCAAGGTTTGAAGGCAGACAGTCTAACTCATGACCACCCAACAGAATGGGTACTATTATGAGTCCTGTTTTACAGATGAGAAAACTGATCCTTGAGGCAGCATGTCAGGGAGGGTATCAGAGAAGCTCTAGTAGAAAGGAAGCAGAACAAACCAGAGGCTGGCAGAGTAAGAGTCTTCTCTGATCAGAGGTCACTGAGTCCCATGCCCTCACTTTACAGTCAGAAGACTGACCCCCTGCAGTGGGAAAAGGCAAGAATAAGAGTACTGTGTGAATGAACGTCAAAGCTGAGGCCTGGACCCAGGTCTCCATTCAGACTTGATTCCTGCCTCATCTTTAGTTCTGCATGCCCTCTGAAGCTGCACGTCTTCACGCTGGCTCCCTCCCCACGACCCCTACAAAGTAGTTTTTAAAAGTAATGGCGACGCCATTTTCTCCAGAATCCTCCGATTACCCTATCTGTTGCTACCTGCCTTAAGGTAACTGGTGTTGTAGAGACCACCGCTGGGTTAGACCAAAGTTGCAAAGATAAATACCCAGCCAGGCAAAAAGGATCCAGAATGGAACATCTTCTAACTACCTAAGCTTTTTAAACACTTTGTACTTCACAGGGAAAAAAAGTTTATTAAATAAACACATGTAGAAAGGGGAGAAAAAAGCTGATTCCAATTATACAATTCTACAATCTCCCCTAAACAGTGTTTTAAGTTTGTTTGTTTTTGTTTTGTTTTAGTGACCTAAAACAACAAACAAATTTATTTTCTTACATCTGGAAGTCAGAAGTCCCAAATGGGTTTCACCAGGCTAAAATCAAGGTGTCAGCAGAGGTGAGCTCCTTCTGGAGGTTCTGAGGGAGAATACGTTTCCTTGCCCTTCAGGCTTCTAGAGGCACCCACATTCCTTGGCTCATGGCCTCCCTATCTTCAAGGCCAGAAACATCAAACTGAATCCTTGCCAGGTCACATCGCTCTAGTTCTCTCATTCCACCTCCCTCTTCGATTTAAATACCCCTAGCTATTACACTGAGCCCACCTGGATAATCCAAGCTAATCTCCCATCACATGTTCAGCTGATTAGCAACATTAATTCCATCTGCAATATTAATTCCTCTGACATTCACCCTAACACATTCACAAAATTCCAGGGGTTAGGACACGAACATCTCTGGGGGTTACTATTCTGCCTACCACACTGTATGATTAATGAGTTACTGATATACCCTAATGCAAGATTTTTAAAAATTATTTATACCCCTGCATATTTTTAGGTTGACATCTAGCATTATTCATTAGAGTTGAAAGGATGTAATTTCTGGCATTTTGTGAATCTCAATATTTATATCAGTCTCAAAAGTACCTAAATGAATTTAAATGTCATGGTGATTTGAAATCACTATCACCCATTAAAAAAAATTTTTGCCATACATGCCCTATACATATTTTATACTAAATTACTTTGCACTTACTGTTACTGCCCAAAAGTCATTCAGCTGTTTAAATTCCGCTGCTAGACCTAGTATGTAACCATGACCTCGCCCACTCTACTCTGGATGGGAAAGACCAGAAATAATGGAATGGCTATGCATTTTATTGTGTATAAAATAAACCTCAATTTTAAAAGGGCAGGGGAGGATTATACCAGATCACTGTAGAAACTATGCCACCCAAAAGTCTGTCTAGGGTCCAGAGACAAAAGCAGTCTGTACCTTGGGGCAGGCTCTGCAGGCCCAAATGCAGGGTGCCTCAGACCATCAGTCTGCCTGTGCCCTGACACCCCCAGCAGAGTACCGTTCACCACACCAAGCTAACTTCCACTCATCCTGCAGTCCTCAGCTCAAATCTTATCTCCTGAAAGAGCCCTTCCTAGATTCCCTCCTTCATCCAAATTGTTCCTTTCCTTCAAAGGACTTACCACAATTTGTGCATAAACATTACTTGTGTGCTTATTTGATGAGTGTCCATCTTCACCCCTAGACCACAAATTCCATGAAAGCAGACAATGGAATGACCTCTGCTCACTGGTACAAACACAGTGCCCAATAAAGTGTCTGGCATGTAAGAGGCACTCACATCTGGGCCAAATGGAATCAATACACGATTATCAATTCGGCCTCCCAAATACCTCAATCCTAGAAAAGGGGATGGTGTTCTGGATAAGGGAAATAGGTATTTTGGTCACCAGAGAGGTATCGGCCTATTCACCTAAATAAGGTGAAATTTTGCTTTAAAAAAAAAAAGAAGGAAGAAAAAACCTCCATATCCCACACAATTTCCATTACTTTAATTAAACAGTAAAATCCTTAATGACAAGAAATAGTGTATCCTGCGTCTGTGTTTGGCCTGGTGACTCATAGGGTTCCAGCGTGGGCCACACCCTCAACCATCTTCCCTTCTGAAGCATGACGCTGATGTCTCACGTCCCCACAGTAAAGATCCACACCTTTGGGTGAAGCAGTGTCTTCACTGGCTCCTATTTCAAGGCTCCAGATGGCTTGGGATGAGGGCAGGGCGGCGAAAGGAGGAAAAGGCACAGACAACATGTCTCAGAGCAACATGCCCCTACTGACACTCAAGCCTGGTGCTTGGCACCTCCACAGGCTCAGAGGCATTTCGCTGACGAACAGTGAGACAAGAAAAACTTTTAACAGCCTAACAAGCCAATACTCAAAATCCCTGAGATGAGATAATGACTGAGGAGAAGAGGGGTCACCCAGGCTTCTAATTCTTCCTTTACCAACACTTTAAACCAGCATGAGTTAAAGACTTTCTGCTCTGGAGCCCAAGCTCATTCAGAGGGATTTTGGCCTAGTGGTTAAGAACGTGGGTCCCATGGTCAGGCAGGCAGGAGTTTGACGGTCGTTCACCCTGGCCATGTGACCCAGGGCAAGTCACCTACTCTCTCTGGAGCTTCAGTTTCCTCTCCAGTTACCAACTGAGTTGTTGTGAGGGTTAAATGAAATGATGATGTAAAACAGTGGGCCCTGAATATACAATACACTGAGCTATTAGTTGGAGCCGAGTTTACCTGGACGTTCTCTTCAGTCACCTCAATCTCGGCCGTATAGATGTAGTCAATCAGCTTACTCAGGGTCTGCCCATCCACATCCTTGATTTCTATCTTCTTGGCTTTACTCTCAGACATGTCACCTACAGTTCAAAACAAAAACAAAATGGACATGAACTTGGTGCCTAGGGTGTGCTTAACTTTCACATGGCCTCCTGCCCTGTCTTGGCAACATAAAAGCACTGTCTGTGCTCCCGGAGGCAGCAGAAGGGCTCAGGCACAGAGGAAGATAGACCAGCTGACATCAAGGTCACAACAACTCTGGGTCTGTGATCATCCACAAACTCAATTTCAAGCATTCCCCACTCTACCTGTTGCCCATTTCCACTCTGAAGGCAAATCTATACGTGATAAAGCATTCAACCAAGTTACTACAAACTTGTACACGGGGGCCAGGGAAAGTGAATGAGATATGCACCTGTCCTCAAGAAGGAGCACCTGTTCTAGTAGGGCATATATATAAAAATACATGAGATGATAAGAGCTTAATAGAGGTATATGCAAAGTACCAGTAGAACAACAATTTCTTAAAAAAACAATTATTGAGTGCTAACTCTGGCCAAGCACTGTGCTAAGCACTTTAAACTGTTGCCTATTTTAATCAACAACCTATGAGTGTTATTAATATCATCCCCATATTACAGATGAAGAAACTGAGGCACAGGAGTGTAGGTAATTCATTTTGCCTACAGTCATACATCTAGGAAGGGGCCAGGCTGGGATTGAAAGCAGGGAGTCTGACTCTAGAGCCCCACACTTGTAATCACTATGGTGTACTGAATCCCAAGAATGCAGACGATAGAGCAACAAATCCTGTCTGGGGAATCCAGGAAGGCATCCTAATAGGAGGTCACATTTGAGCTGGGTATTCCACATGCAGCAGAGGTGAGGAAGGACGAGCTGGATGCAGGAATCATCAGTGCAAAGACAGAAAAGTGCCAAAAGTATAAATGTGGGGAACAGTGAGAGGGCAGCACGGCTGGTACATGGGGTGACAGTGAGAGGAAGGAGGCTGGAGAGGCAGATAGGGGCCAGGACTTGCAGAGCCCAGCAAACCATGCAAATGAGTTTGCACTTTATCCTAAGAGTAGCACCACTGAAAGGTTTTAAACGAGGGAATGACATCAACAGATGGGTGTCTTTGAATGAAATTTTGGATGTACTGGTGGAAGCTGGATCAGAGGCAGGGAGAACAGATGGGAGGCCCTGACAATAATCCAAAAAAGAGAAGACAGAGGCCTGTGAACTAGGGCAGCAGTGGCACCACATGTGCAGTCACGAGGCCCCTGACTTCAGCCTGCCCTCTCTATACAGTGCACAGTTCTGTCTAGAGCCAGGCTCCTTCAACAAGGGCTGCTGATTTCAGAAGGAAAAGACAGGCAAGACATGTGTCTTTGTAGACTGAAATGAAGGGCAACATGACTACTAGAAACAGGGATTCAGAAGTCCTTCTGTGAGTGTGAAAACTGAGCCTGGGCGGTTGTTTTCTCTCTGTGGAATCTGTGCACTGGAGCCAAGAAAATAAAGTACAATACAGCATGTGGGCTGCAGACGCCCACCTCCAAGCTGCATGGACTGCACATGATTCCTCCACCAATCCCCAGTTCCCACCCTGACACAGTTCTAGATATGAATGACTCTGAACAGGGAGGAAAGGTGGGGGCGGGGGACCTATTCCAGACGTTGCTGGCTCCCACTGCTGCCAGATCAGGTAGCCCAGAGACCTCCAGTTGGTCCTCTCTTCTCTCTGACTGTAGTAGAAGCCAGTGAAAAGTCTTCAGCACAAAGAGACCTGAGACAGGACGAAGAGGCAAAGAGGAAACAGGAAAAGACGGTGGGTTTCTCCTCTACCTATAAAACAGGCTCTCACAATCTCTTTCTTGAATTTACTCTAAGGCAAACAAGAACATACACGCGGGTTTCCCTGGTGGCGCAGTGGTTGAGAGTCCGCCTGCCGATGCAGGGGACACGGGTTTGTACCCCGGTCCGGGAAGATCCCACATGCCGTGGAGCGGCTAGGCCCGTGAGCCATGGCCACTGAGCCTGCGCGTCCGGAGGCTGTGCTCCGCAACGGGAGAGGCCACAACAGTGAGAGGCCCGCGTACCACAAAAAAGAAGAAAAAAAAAAAAAAAAAAAAAAGAACATACACGCAAGGAAATCAGAAGTTAAATTCATCTCTCCAAACAGCTACTAAGACATTCACAAATAAAGGTCCAGTTGGTAATTATATTGCAAAAGATCATCAAAGATAGCCAATTATTAGTTTAAGAACTTGGACCTTAAAGGGACTTCCCTGGTGACGCAGTGGTTAAGAATCCGCCTGCCAACGCAGAGGACGCGGGCTCAAGCCCTGATCCGGGAAGATGTCCCAAGCCGCGGGGCAACTAAGCCCGTGCACCTCAGCTACTGAGCCTGCGCTCTAGAGCCCGTGCTCCTCTACAAGAGAAGTCACTGCAATGAAAAGCCCGCACATGGCAACCAAGAGTAGCCCCCGCCCACCGCAACTAGAGAAAGCCCACGCACAGCAACGTAGACCCAACACCCAAAAAATAAATAAATATATAAATAAATAATAAAAAAAAAACTTGGACCTTAGAAAAACGAGCAACCAGCAACCTGACTGCAAGAACCAAGAGACTCAGAAGGCCCTTAGTGAGTGTGAAATCAGAGCCTGGCCTGATTGCTTTCTCTCTATGGAATTAGAGCTTGGGAGTCTGCTTAGGGTTTTGTAACTTGGGGGTAAACAAATGGAAACTCCTGAAATTGCATGAAAACATTTGTATATGTGGGCAAAAGTCTGATTTTCTGAGGGGATGAACAAATCATTTTCATCAGTCTCAAATGTCCAAAAAACATTAAGACACAGTTTTCTAGATGGTGGGACTTTAGGAGATTTTTTTTCTTGCTTCTTTATGTGAATCAAAAGTTTCTAATTTCTACATTAAGTACTTAAAACTCCAACAAGGAAGGAAAAAATGAAAAAAATAAAAAGAAAACCTAGGGCCTCAAAGACATGTATTTTCTGAGAAATTTACCTTATAGGAAATAGGAGACCTATATAAATCATAAGCACTCATAAAATGCAATTTAATATCTCTATGAAGCAGTAGAAATCACTGCACCAAACTAAGACATCAGTTTAAACAAATCCTGAAAGTGGCAGTAATAATAGTTGCTACTACATGCAGGCCCTCAGGGTTTACACACATTATTTCATTTAGTCCTTGCAATGACCCCAGGAGGTACTAGATATTACTTCCATTTTACAAATTATAGAACTGGCATATCAAGAGGCACTTGCACACAGCTAGTAAGAGGCAGGGCTGGGATCTGAACCGTGGCCTAACTCTAGACCTCATGTCATTTCTAATAAATCCCTCCATAATTTAAACCTGGCCCTAACTAATGGCTTTGATAAAAGTATTCCCAAACAAAGCCTATGTCCAAATTCTGAGCCAACTTATACTTATTACCCAGTAAGCAAGAAAGAAGAGAGATGGGATCTTGTCCTCAACACCTAACAAAGTGCATGACATATAACAAGCACTGAAAAAATATTTGTTGGTACAGGGAAAGAAAGAAAGAAGAGAGGCTTTCTTTTGACATCTCATAAATCCACAGACTCTGATAATTCTAAAGAGGGAGAAATCATCAAAGGCTTGGTCATTCTTACTACTTCACTCACCTCCACTACTTTGACAAATATTTCTAGAGAACAGAACATAAGCCCAATAAGTCCTTCTCTATTCAAGGTCAACCCAAGAGACCTGTTCTGCTGGTTTTTCTCAAGAGGCCCAGCCCAGCCACTTCAGACTCTGAACTTTCAGAAAAGAGGAAATGCAGATGGCCAACAGACACATGAAAAGATGTTCAACATCACTATTCATCAGTGAAATGCAAATCAAAACCACAATGAGGTATCATCTCACACCTGTCAGGATGGCTATCATCAAAAAGAACACAAATAACAAATGCTGGTGAGAATGCGGAGAAAAGGGAAGCCTCCTACCACTGTTGGTGGGAATGTAAATTGGTGCAGCCACTGTGGAAAACAGTATGGAGGTTTCTCAAAAAACTAAAAATAGAACTACCATATGACCCAGGAATTCCATTCCTTGGTATACATCAAAAAAAAAAAAAAAAAAAAACCCAAAACACTAATTTGAAAAGATACGTGCATCTCAATGTTCACAGCAACATTATTTACAATTGCCAAGATATGGAAGCAACCAAAGCGTCAATCAACAGATGAGTAGATAAAGAAGATGTGGTTTATATACACAATGGAATACTACTCAGCCATTAAAAAGAATGAAATTTTGCCATTTGCAGCAACATGGATGGACTTGGAGGGTATTATAATAAGCAAAATAAGTCAGACAAAGACAAATTCTGTTTGACATCACTTATATGTGAAATCTAAAACATACAACAAATTAGTGAATACAACAAAAAAGAAGCAGACTCACAGATATAGAGAACAAACTAGTGGTTACTACTGCGGAGAAGGAAGTGGGGAGGGGCAATATAGGGTAGGAGATGAAGAGGTACAAACTATTAGGTATAAAATAAGCTACAAGGATATATTGTACAACACAGGGAATACAGTCAATATTTTATTTATTTATGTATTTATTTATTTATTTTGGCTGCATTGGGTCTTTGTTGCTGCGCGTGGGCTTTCTCTAGTTGCAACAAGCAGGGGCTACTTTCGGTGTGGTGTGCGGGCTTCTCATTGCAGTGGCTTCTCTTGTTGCAGAGCACGGGCTCTGGGCACGTGGGCTTCAGTAGTTGTAGCATGCGGGCCCTAGAGCACAGGCTCAGTGGTTGTGGCGCACGGGCTTAGTTGCTCCGTAACATGTGGGATCTTCCCGGACCAGGGCTCGAACCCATGTCCCCTGCACTGGCAGGTGTATGCTTAACCACTGCGCCACCAGGGAAGCCCAGTCAATATTTTATAATAACTATAAATGGAGTATAAACTTTAAAGATTGTGAATCACTATATTGTACACCTGTAACTTATATAATATTGTACAGCAACTATACTTGAATTAAAGAAAGAAAAAAAAAGAAAATGTCT